CTGGTGCATTATCACCTTAAACCATGTAAACCTTTTCCACACTGTTGACTCCTGACACTGACTTGGGCAACTGTATTCCCAATACTGGAAACATATTTCAGTCAGAACTATTATAGTTCATAAATAGGAAAATGAGCAGCAGGATAGCACATCGTGTGATGGCGCTACGTACGTTGACTGCTCTAGAATTGGAGTGGGCAATAACGTGCCTGTCAAATGGCACAAGGAATATGTATTCGGGGATAAGAGCTGAAAGCTAATGATACACAACAGCTAATGTTAACACTTACATCAATGTGAGAATATACGTACCGATCAGAGGGGTTTTCTGATAAATATGGAGGAATAAGTGTGAGATAATGACAGCGGGACACTTTGCTTCCTCTCGGTTTACAACCATCTTTTGCAAGCTAACTCGGTGGTCCCCTGAGAAATACAACGCTGCACCCTCAGTGGTTCCCCTTTATGCTCTCGTTTTCACCCCACATCTACCATTACAATATCTGTAAAAGGTTGTTTATAAGGGAAATTCACTTCTGATAGTTACAAAAATCAACACTGTCTACTATGGGCCTTTTTAAAAAAATGAGTGGATGTCAATAGTGACCAAAAGTTTCACTTTAAAAGGAGAACTATGAGGTGAGTGAAAATCAGCCTCATAGTTCGAGCCGACATTTGACAATTAAATTGTTACACGTCGGCTCAATAGATCGGGAAGTGAGCGAACACATACCGTCGCTCGCTCACTTCTCGATCAGGTCCCTGCGGCGATTCCCAATCATGTCCCTGCGGCGATTCCCCCCCTCCCCTGTCCGATCCTCCAGCGCTGACTGGTGAAACAGATGGGGGAGGGGGTACAGCTGGCTCTGCCCCCAGATAGGCAGAGCCAGCTGTCACTCACGCAGCTGGGTGGATCGACAGTAATGTCGGAATCCGTCCCGGCTGCGGCGTCTCAGTATACTGCGAGCTGTAGCTCACGATATACTGAGCTTCAGGTCACGGGAGGATGCTAGTTTGTGTCCTCCCGTTACCCTTAGGAGAACTATGGGGAAAAACACTGACCCCATAGTTCTCCTTTAACTTTCTTAGAGTATAAAAGATAAAACCCGATTGGTCTCTATGGAAAACAGTCGCACTTTAATTCCCATTGTCTGCAGCTTTATATGCTTCTCATGGAGTGCGGTTTCCCATGTTTTATTCACTAACGTCTTCTGCCATCACAACCACTGACCCGTTTCTTTAATGAAGGACAGTAAATAGCTGTAAATCTTTTCACATTTCACAAATAGAAATGACTTGGCCAGACAGACTCAATTATCCATAACCCACAATAGATTAGCCGTATTTCTCTAGGATAAGTTGTTTTCTTGACTCCTTTTCTTCAGCATGTACTGTAATGACACGTCTAACCAACAGCCTTGAACATTTTAAAGTATTAAGCCAATTAGGGTTTGTCCTAAAAGAAGTGAATATACATAGAGGTGATCTTGCTATAATTACTGCTATACTGCAGAAAGAGCTTTGCCGACGTTCTATAAGCTTGTTATTTAATCCCCAACACATTCTAGCTGAGAAGCGACATACATCTCTGTCTATAGGATAATACATTTATCTCTAAAATAAAGTGTCCACAACACATGTCATTTTTGAGCCCGTTCTCTACTGAATCAGTGGATACACATAATCGCCACTGGATAATAGAAATCAGACCTGGCAGATGATAAAAGAGTAACGATACAGCATTGTAGCTACTTTATATTACTTTAAAAAAAAAGATGTTTATTTCCAGCTTCCCATAGCACAGTAGTGCACTGTCTAGCCAGTAACAACCATCTCCCTTTTCTGACCCATCCTGGCCAATGATGTTAAAGACTATATTGGGTTTTTATTTTTACCAGACAGATCTTATTTAAGAAAAATGGTAAAACTCCATGGATATTTATTCCACCCATCATGGAAACCACATGGTCGAGGGATGTAAGGAAATCTTATGTTGTGAACATAAATATGCAAAATTTGGTTCCACCGATCGTTGTCTAGGCTTCCAAAAGGCATATTGGGAACCTGATGCAATGGGGCTGCCTTCCTAATTGATGCCACCACACTCCCTCCCTATATTCTGTGTAGATGATCTAGGGATGAACAATTTCCCAAGATTCATCTTGAAAGACTTGTGACTTGAAGTGACCCTGTAAGATTGGTCTTAGGCTGGTCCCTGGAGCATCTCTCCTCCTCCGCTGCAGCAGTCTAAGGATCCTTGAATCATCACTTTCTATACACAGTGTATGGATGTGAGGATACCAGGGGACAAAAACGCTGGAGCACAGGAGGAGACAGGCTTTAAGGACCGACGTAGCAGCCAGCTACCACTGTTCAGGTGAATATAACTTTTTTTTTTTACTAGCGCTTAACCCTTGCAGTGCAGAAGTAGCCCCACTGCAAGGGTTGAGGACACTTTTGCCCAGAATTTTGCTTCAAATGTACATGTGTTTGGGTCAGAGACTCGCCAATTTATTAAGTGCAAGTATGAAGGTGACAACCCGTGACGCATTCAAACACAAGTTAGCAATAGCATTCCTATACTAACAGGAGTCATCCAATGTCCATCCATGTGCCGGTCATGATTATTAATGTACTGGTATGCATGTTTAGAAAATGGCTCATTCAACAGTAGTTATTAAAATCGGATTACACTGAAAAACTAAACATTCAGCTGCTTTGGATGACCAATTACTTGGCCTATTGCAACATGTTTCACAACTATGGTTTATCAGGTTCCCTTTTCTTCAAAGCTGCTGCTGTACACTGGTGGTGGCCCCAGTTACCTGGATGCTGCTGCAATCACCTGAACTAGTGAAAGGTGATGCCACATATACATAATATACTGTACTTTTAGTCTGACATAACCTTATTAAAAATACCTAGTGCCCCCCAAATCATGCTCTCAACGGACACTGCAGACTTGTTATGAAATGCACAGGTTCTTGGGCTGATGATTATTCTTGCTTCACTACATGGCGAGTTACTAACCTAAAAGAATTGCATGTTTAGACAGTTAACTGGGCACCTAGTAAATATTTGTTCCAGGCAAGTTAACCCAGTGGTGAAGGCAAGGTAAGAATGACAGCCTTGGAGTCTGCACCTTCAAAAAAAAAAAAAAAAATCAAAATCAGCAATGGCAGTCCCCATATGTCTAATCCGACAAGGCCCTTTAATTTTCTAAAGCAGACCACTGCCTGCATTACCCAATGTTTGTGGACAAACGCATATCCTAGGTTCTATTTTATGACAGTGAACCTATGGCCAGGTTATGGACATTCAAATATTTACATATTATTAACAGACCGTAAATGAGCTTTAAAACATGCCCTCGCTGACTTCAGTGGCTGCATTGTGGAGTAATGCATCCTAAACATTTACAACAGAGGCACTGAAATCAAAGATCATCTCTCCATGCTTCCTCTAGCAGCAGATACTTGATGGTCTTCAAGTCTTTTAACATAAACAAACATCAGATGGTGTAAGTTGTGTAGTAACTGACTGCAACCTGCTTTTAAAGTCTTTGAGATCTTTGAGGATTGCTTGCTCAACAGACAGTACATGCAGCTACAGGAGGTCAGTGATGGCTAATTTTTAAGCCTATTTACTGTGTGTACATACATATATACACACACACACACACACACACACACACACACACACATTACATACAGATATCTATCTATATATACACATACACACACATATACTTTAACATTTACATACATGTACATACACTTTAATGTCCATAGCCTGGCCACAGGTTCCTGTTAAAACCTGAGATACTTAAAATGAAAGCTGCCCTTGTTGAATATGATGGTATCCCTGGAACAAAAAAAACATTTACATCCAGGATGGTGGATGAGCACTATGTAATGAGAAGTGCAGTGCCGCCAAACACCTTACATACAACTATTCTGAATTCACCTCATTCATATCTTATCATAGCTTATCTAGAAATCAACCCAGTTAACCCTCAAAATAAAGCATATCTAGGTAATATCTGAAAAAAATGCCACAAAACAACTATTATATATACATTCACTCTAAATGCAATATATTAGAGCATGGTATATAGATTATGACACTTAACTAGCCCAAAAAGCATCACCAGTTGGAAAAGGTTTTCATGGGGTAATTTTTGGAGGTCCATGCAGTCAGCTGAAAGACTATGTTCTGCTATTGTAGTAAGTGCTATTCATTGAAATAACAGTCTTCTGGAATTCATGACTGCATGTGGTTGTTATGCAGAAAGATAGGAATACAGTTTTAGTGTGCTTTAGTAGGGAATGTTACTGTATCTTAGTGTATCTGTTTTTGTTAAAACTGATCCATGGCTTGCCAGTGAAGTATAAATGGGTTCAGGGGATGCCAAGTCAATCAAAATCTTAAAATATGTGGTACAAAATTGCAAGGTTGCCATTTGTATGATGCAGGCAATCTTCTGATTTATCAGGAAAACTGAGTAAGGGATTGGCAAATCATGAAAAGCCAGAGAACTGAATGGCCAATCCTGGTTTGGAAGCACGGCAGTGAAATCTAGAGGCTTATTAATCGGAACTGATGGCAGTGTTTAACTGTACCCCCAAAACACAGTTCGTTCATAGCTTTATGGTTATCACAGAATGCTTTCTGTATCATGATTGCTTAGAAACCAACATTATCAGAATCAGCAGATATAAGATGCAGTGTTGCCCTGTTCCAGATCATAAAATTCTCATGAGACAGAATTTGCTGCTTTCCTTTACGTTTCTGAGGAATAACATATGACAGACCTATAGGACACTTGAAATAAGGCACAAAGCTCTGAATTAAGAAATTAACAAAAGAGATCTGCAAAACTTGCAAGGTCATAGGTTATTCCCCGTATGGCAATACATGTACAATTAGCTTGGTTTTGGGCATATCCCTTCCATGTATTTCTTTTTCTATGAATTTGTGAGGGCAGGAAAGGGTCAACTTGTTGAATAAGCCTAGCCAACTTTCAATTGGTTAATCTGATGAGGACTGCTAGGTAGATTGTTCACCTGATACTTAAAACATTAACCTCTCCCAGAAAGACACCTCCCCCATGCTGGTTTTGATTAGAAATGTTTAAAGACCACTCACGTGACTGACCTTTCCAACATTACATTGCACTTCTAAAAGGTCTCATTTGATTGTGAAATCTCCTTCATCTTCACACCTGGTGATCTAGGCAGTGTTCAGCAGGTTTCCAGTCATACCAGATCCCAGGAGCCAATTTCCATTCCTCTTCTTGTTCCTAGAACTTATGGGCCCAATTGCAAACTCTAGGCGTACAAAGTGCAGCTCAGTTCAGAGGGTAAGTGTCCTCAAGCACAGTTTAAGTCACATTTGATTCCAGTCTCAGCCACTGTAAACCCTGTCTAATGTAGTGTACAAGTTCAGGCATAGTGCTGTTTAGAGCCAGGGGGCAAACCATTGCACTGAGATCTGCAAAGAAATCTGAAACAGACACACGGACAAATGAAAATATGCCATCAAATTACATCATCAATCTATATGTCAATTTATGAGAAAATATATCTTTGTACAGATTAAAGGGGAACTATGAGGCGAGTGATTCCACTCATACTCATAGTTAGAGCCGACCTGTGACAAAGAAGCTGTCAGAGGTCGGCTCTATCGATCGCGACGTGAGCAGAAACATGCCGCCGATCTGCTCACGTCACAATAGTCTTCCTGCAGTGAGCGGTGACGGTCAGACACTGCTCCCCGCAGAGATTCGCCCCTCTCCGATCCTCCAGCACTGACTGGAGGAACGAACAGGGGAGATTGCGGGCTCTGCCTCTCGATAGGCAGAGCCCGCTGTCACTCGCGTAGCTGGATAGAACTTGACAGTATTCTCGGGATCTGTCCCGGCTGTGGCGCTCTCAGTATATCGCGGGCAATATCTTGCGATATACTGAGCTTTGGGTCACGGCAGGTGGTTAGTATATGTCCTTCCTGTGACCATAAAGAGAACTACAGTATGGGGAAAACACTAACCCCCTAGTTCTCTTTTAATGTTAACTGGGAGACCCCAACTAAAAGCAACTCAAACATGGGACACAGACCTGTTCCTGCTCTCTTCTGTGCTTCAAGCTTCCCAGGTTAGTGAATATTTGGGTGTCTATTATAGCATAGAATTTCCAATATCGATTTGTAAATTTGGAAGTTAGACACACTTAGAAGACCAATTGCTCAGTCAGAAACTCTAGTCACAGTGGTGCTTGCTGATATTTTAAAGAAAACAAATGTTGACTCTTATGAAGTCTATCATTTTATGCAGGGGTGGGGTATCTCCAACCCTCTGGCTGTGCTTCAACTAGAAATGCACCTCCTGGCTGGAATGTGCTGCAATGCCACAATACCGTGCGTTGTGCTGCGGTGGAGAAAAAGCAGTTGCAGCGCATTGCAGCCGGGAAAGTGTGTTGGGGTGCCATTCAAATGAATGGCAACGCACTTGTGCACCATAATGCATGGTAGGTGTGAACAGGCCCTAAATGTTTCTACATAGGTCAAGTTCCATACTGAATGACTATTGAGATGAAAAGGACCTTGACGTTGTATAATTTCATCAAACCTGAGCGGACAGTCTTATTCTGTGATAGAGGAATAGTAAGTTACAATCACTGGCATGGAAAAATTATGTTGCCCAGAAGTATATTTAAAATGAACTGTGAAACCTTAACACGCTTGGATAAAATTAATTATATTACTCTGAACATGAAGAAAGTTTAAATAAATGTTAACATATATTTTGTGTGTGCAGATAGATATATATATATATATATAGATATATATATATA